ATAAATAGGCTCTTCTGTAAAGATTCAGGTTTTTTTTTTATTACCAGACTTTATTTATGGATGATGAGGAAGAGCTAGTTTCAGAAACTATGAAAACTGTTTGCTCAACCCGTTTGCTCTTGTGAATATCATGACTTCTGTTACACACAGATGGCAAATGTAGGAATGACACTGTTGTTACAATTCCATGTTTTAGGAATATATACTATTTTATTAAACTCTAGTGGAATTTGGAGGCAAAGAGTTTGACACTCAAATATGAACTACTTGCATGTAATAGTCAGCAAACTAATTAAAACAATTTTATAAATTAATCTGATTGTTCAGGTTTGTTTAAAGTCTTTCAAATATCTTTCCACTTTTCTCTCATACTGTGACTTTATTCTATGAATTGCATTGGAAATGGATTGTGTGGAAATGGCATTGATACTGAAGGCCATTTTTCCTTCTTCCTCTAATTCACTGAGTGTTTAATAAAGGCAGCTTGTTTGTTTACTGTGATAGAACGTATGTAAATACAATTTCTGAATCTAAGAAAAATGGAAATTTAAAATAACATTGAGGTCCTTCCTCCAATGCAAAATGGCGCAGAAAATACAGCATCCACCCAGAGCAAGTAGCCGGAGCAGCCTTTAATCAGGGAGTGTGAGACCCTTCACCCACGGGTTCTAGCCTCTCTCCCACGCAAGCCGGGAATCAATCATGTTAGAGTTTGCCACACGTTGAAATAGAACTTCAAAGGGGAAATGAGATAGGACAGCCACTCCTTTCCGACTAAGGGAACAGAGCAGATAGAGTTCCCCTTGCTGGCTGCATCCCTTCTCAGCCAGAGGGCAATGGGCAGGAGGATTACTTGGTGGTGGACAGCAGTCTCTGCCCTTTTCATCACCTCTTCCTCAGCTCAGGCCAAGTGTAGAGGGGAGGCTGTGCATGAGCTGGATGCGGCGCCAAAGGTGTGATGCCAGGGAATCTAAACTTTCTCAGACCCTCAACCAGGTGTGATACGACATAAAAATACCATGCTTGCCTTTTATTGTGTCATCCTTCATTTTCTTATATTTCTTTCTCCAACTACCAGAACTTTTTGGGTCTTTATGAATATTAATATTAATGAGACAAGCATGGATGTTCTTCTTTTACATTGAGACATGGCGAGCTTACAGCGTGCCAGCTAGGTTTATTAACTCCACAGTTCTCTTTAATGCTCTCATTACACAGTAGTTCTATCTAGATGGTCTCACACCTCTACTTTGGGAAGGTATAAAGCAGAATGAAACACCATCCCTGCCTGGTCGCTGGAACCTGGGCTGGCTTAGCAGTCTGGACAGGTTGTTCAAGACTGTCCCAAAGGCCAGTTCCAGTGAATGAGTCTCCCCACCAGCAACCTGATATTCAGGTCAGATGCAGCTTAGGTGGTTTCAGCAATCAGAACCTCGTGGCGAGGGAAATGCTCCCGTGGGCTGTGACCATGGAGCACAGGTAAAGAGCCGCCTCCAGTGGGGTATCCACAGAGAGGAGGTGCCTTGCCAGGAACAGACTGCAACAGCTTCTTCTTCTATGGCATGTTTGACGGCAGGTTCTGAAAAGCACGCTGGGACTTACTTCATGCATCATGTTTATGCTTGCATATACCAGCGATCCGTGCCAGTGGAACATGGATTAAAAAATCCACAGAGAAGTCCAAGGTTAATTTTAGGTACCGCTTCGGTGTCCAACCCCTCAGTCTCTTTTGCAGGTCTTGCTTAGGTTGGGTGTGAAGAACTTGAGAGCAATGAAGGCTGTTAAATACTGAAATGAATTAATAAGCAGCTGCTCTTTCCTGGAGAAGAATAGAGACCTGCACCCGTCTGGAGAGTCTAAAGGCAGTGTCCTCTGATGCAGTTTAGACAGGGCCAGCGCCTTTGAGCTCCAGAAGCCTGTGTGTTCTCCAAAGCTTCTGCCTTTGCTCCTCTGCCTCTTTCCCTTCCTCCACGGTCTGCCGTAGAGGATAAAATCAGCTCACTGCTGAACAGCACAGAGTTTCAAGAAGTAACGATTGCAGCGTGCGACAGTTTAGCTTCCGAGCCTGCCTAGCTGGGTTTTTTATTTTCCCTTCTGTGTGCCTCCATTTCCTCTGAGGAGGAGATCAGAACAAGAAATGGCATATAAGATGCTGGGCGCTTAACTGAGCGCGTCCATCCACAAAGCCTCTAGATCAGTTCCTGGTACGTGATAAACAAAGAACGTTACTTAGTTGTTATCACTACAGAATGAACGTACAGTGCTTTCTACCTGAGTAAAAACAAAGGCATCATTTTTGTGTTGATCAAATCTACCTCACAGTTTTCCAAAAGACAAGAGGACGTGGGTGGGTAACTGACAGGCTTGCACTATGAGCAGGTCCTTTCACTGTTTCTTAGACTATTATCCAAGATAGATCATATTTACCTCTCTCATTCCAATGAAGGCCAAGATACACGCTAAAATATTTATGCTTTATCAGTGTACAAAGGGCAGTTTCAGCATCTCTCCCAGGAACCTTAATGCAAGAATACAAACAGCTCTGACATCACAACAATTAAAAAGGTGCTATTAATTAAAAAAAATCTTCTCTCTTTTGATTTGGTTCCATAGCCTATCTTTTTAAGATATAAAATAGCTAGTATCTCAAAAAACCACCTTATGCTTGGGCAGCCGTGGCATATGCCTCTAATCCCAGCACCCGGGAGGCAGAGGCAAAAGGATCTCTGTGAGTTTGAGGCCAGCCTGGTCTACAGAGTGAGTTCCAGGATGTCCAGGGCCACACAGAGAAGCCCTGTCTCCAAAAAAATGAAAACAAAAACAAACAAATAAAAAACATAAAACACTACCCTTAAACCAAAGGCAATGTTGTCTAGAGTCTAGGATTTAATAACCAACAGCAACAATTTCCTGCAAATGGATGAATCTGTAGCTGACTAAATGGTCTGCTGTATGGCATCTCTGTTCCTAGTTTTCTGAACGTCAACAGATGGGTCCTTAGCTTCTTTCAGGCATGGTTTCCTCATCCACAAAACAGGGGTGTGTGGGGCAGTGAAACCATATCTAACCTCTCATCCCTAGGCGAGATGAGAGATGGAGAGGTATTAACAAGAGTTCATAACTCAGTAGTCATTCAGAAAAACAGCATACACACACACACACACACACACACACACACACACACACACACACACACACATCCCACACAAGATTTCAGACATCAGATCATAATCCTATCAATGATGTTTTTCTATTAAAATTGAGACATTTATTCTTTTATGGAACAATGCAACATTCTCATAATACAGAGACATCAGTTATATTCCTCTCTTCTTCCTCATCTCACCATATCCAGCTCTGCCCCATGTAGACCCTCTCTTTATCCCAACACAGAAGTTAGCAACCACAACCGTAGAGATTGAGACAAAAAAAATGGTTTGTTTTGTTGACTCAGTGGACACCTCTCCCCCTTGTGATTCTTAATTCCTCCCCATAGAGACAGTTGTGTGTGTGTGTGTGTGTGTGTGTGTGTGTGTGTGTGTGTGTGTCCGGTTTGCATTTTCATGGGGGAGGAGCAGGATTTGTGAGAGAGAAGGTGGAGCAAAGTTTCTTTTCTCATAGCAAAGCGTTCCTTGTAAAAGTGATGCTATATATACATGTTTATATATAATCTATCCAGTGCAATCACAACTGTCCTGCCAGACACTCTGAAGTTCCACCTTGGTCGATATATTTCTGGAGTGTTAAACAGCTGTCCCACAACAGCTGCATTTGAGTAAGACTTGGGCAGGTGGCTCCAGATCAGCCACTTGCCACTCATGTGCAGGCTGAGGCTTCTATGTTCACAGTTCACAGGAAAGAGCGCGTCTTCCGTCTGGAGTGGGTGCTGTGGCCAGGCGATGGGGCAAGGTGGGAGCTGGAGGCTGGGCCACGAGGAAGAAGTCTGGCTTCTTTGTACTTCTCCCTCATGGTGTGTGTGTGGCAAATTCACATCAGTGTGAAAAATATTCACAGTCAGAGGTCTCATTTTCCTATAGCACACCAGCCAGCTAAGGGAGCTCACCACAGACATTTCCAGTACTTTAGCCAAGAGCCATTAGATGTAAATTAGAAGAGATTAATTTGAGACAATAGTTCTGTAAATGCGGTTTTGGGTTTTCCCACCAGATGGGGGAAATTTGAAGTCTCTGCCTTCCTGTGCTCTCACCCACTAAGCAAGGGACAGTTGCTGAGTCCCTACTGCAGGTCTGAAGAAAGATGGGGGAGGGGAAACTCTGCCTCAGCAGGTCAGCTCAGAAGACGCTCACTGAAAATAGCAAGGACCTGCAAACCAAGACCAGAAACCATTACAAACCCACTCCGTGTTGGCTCTGGCTGTCACCAATGGAACTATTTAGAGACCTACAGGAAAGACGGTGGTCTGTCTAAAACTCAAATAGATCCTTGACTTGATCCTGATTCTGCAAAACTGAAAATAAATAAATACAAGATCGGGTGCCGGGAGGGGCCAGGATACTTAAAAGGGGAAAAAAAAAAGACAAACGCACCATTTTCCTTATGAATGCTGCACACTTTATCTACTGGTGGCGAATGGTGAGTGTGAAAGTTGCACACTTCATCTACAGGCAGCGAATGGTGAAGCAAAGCACACGGAGAAGAACCCTCATCGGAGAAGAGGGGCAAAGGGCAAAGGACTAGCCAATAATTGGGCTTATTTTAAACGTTTGTCATTTGCTCTAAAAATAAAAAAGAAGGCAAACCACTCCACTTCTCATCTGAGTAAATGCACGCATTTGAAGTTCAACTCCAAGCCGGCCATCTACGGTCTCAGCATTACTATCAAAACCAGTCTAAATTTTACACCTGTAAAAGGCCTACTTAATTTGGCAGTTAAGCCGATGGAAGAGAGCCCAGGAGTCACAGGTACTCTGGATCAACGCTGTGCAGCAGCAATGAAATTCTCTGGCGCCATAGGCATCACCGGAAGAAGAAACAATGGAGCCTTTTAATAGTATATTTTATTTAACCCAATATCACCAATAGGCAACTGCTGGACATTATTAGAACATGCAAACTCAGTATAAAATGTTAACGAGGTGAGGTTTTACATCATGTTTCTTTTGCAGTTTTGGAGATCCAGTGTGTATTATGTCTGACAGCACATCACCGTTCATCCTAGCCACGGGGCAAAGGCTCAGCAGTCATGAGTGGTGGTTAGTGGCTACTGTCTGCCCAGTGCAGGCTAGAATCTTTCCACCGAACTTTATTCAAAGAACAGAAAGAGTCCTCTGTACCACCGAGCAACCAGGCCGAGGGCAGGGTGCTACTTTCTAGAGACATCTACCCGTAGAAACAAATGATGGCATGCAATCTCTCAGCCACATGGTCCTGGGGGTGGGGGGTCTCCCAAGGGAAGTCGGGGTGTCTGCCCCTCAGCCCAGAGTCGGGTACAGTGCTGGAGGGGCTGCGGGGAGACTGCACTCCCTCCTCCGCTTACCTGAGTCCACGCTGAGGCCCAGGCTCTGGGCCACGTCTCCCGTGGGGCTCACGAAGGGTCCCCCGGGCGCAGCCCACGCGCCGCCCGCCGGCTCGCCCTTGGCAGCGAGCTCGCAGGGCGGGCTGCCGGGAGCGGGTGCGGAGGCCGGGGCCAGGCGGCCGGGGCGGCCCGAGGCGGCGGGCATGAGCAGCGGCCCATAGCGCGGGTCGAAGTGGGGCGCGTAGACCTCGTGCATGGCTGGCCGCGGGTAGGCTGAGGCTTGCGCGCCTAGGGCGCCGCCCAGCGCGTAGGGATGGTGCGGGTGCGGGTGTGCGTGGTGCGGGTGTGCGTGGTGCCAGTCGGCCGCGCCCTGGTGCAGGTGGCCGTGCAGGGCGGCTGGGGAGTAGGGGTCGGCGGTGGCGAAGGGCAGCTCCGAGTGCGCGGCGGCCAGAGGACTGCCCAGCGGCGAGGGCACCGGCGCCGCCTGGTACGCGCTGTTCCAGAAGGAGGCGGGAAAGCTGCGCTGGCTCATCGGGAAGGTGCCTTCTGCTGGCCCGGGATGGGAGGAAAGCGAGAAAGGAGTGTGTCACGGAGGCCGTGCCAGCCTACCCGACCGGGGGCCCTAGGGATCAAGGGCTGGAAGGCCGCGGGAGGGGCACGACCCGCAGCCTTCACCTCTCCTCTGGGCGGCTTTCTAAGAGGCCTGCTGCGGGCGACGGTGAGGCCAGGGCACTGAGAAGTGGGGGCTCCCCGAAAGTCCCCCCTCCACCCCAGCACATCTGAATCAGCCAGCTTTCTAGATGGCGCCAGCAACAGAATTTCTGATGGTGGAGGAGGTCGGAGATTTTAGGACAAGAGAGCTTGCCCTCTCCCCTCTGGTCCAAGGCAGACTCTCTTTTCCAGGCTGCAACTGAAGACCCTTGTCCCTCTGTCTGAGGTCTAGCTATCACACTGTCCTCTCTCCCATCTCAATCCTCCCGGCTCCAGAAAATGTTCCACTTCAAGAGAGGTGAATGTTAGACTGGGAGACCACGGATAGTCTTCCAAGGCTTGTTATTAGTGGTGTTTATTTTTCTAGAGGTCTTCTTTCAAATATTCCCCCTCTCGCTAGAATTCAAGGAGCTAAGTGAAGCAGGTATGTTAAAAAGGGCAGCTGTGTGTTATTTGCATAGACAGCTTTTAAAAAAATTCCAAATTTTAATTAACAAACTTTCTGATCAAAGCGAGGATGCCAGGAATAATAATAATAATAATAATAATAATAATTCAGTCATCAGTATCACTGTCAACTCCCTAGAGTATGGTAACATAAGAGAAGGGCGCTTAGGTCTAGTTAGTTGCCTTGGGTAGAGAAGGAGAGAAAGGCATTCAATTCAATGCCACTTTATGGTACATCACTTCTGGGGAGGCATAGGTACCACATGCTACAACATCTAAAACGACTTGGAAATCACCTTCTGGATGGTGAACAAATGTCCCGTTGAAAAAGAATTTAGGCAATGGGAGGGGGGAAACAGGAAGTTTTGTGTCTAAAACGAATGCTTTGAAATCTTGTCTAAAGGCAAAGTTTGTGCAAAATGCCAGATACTATCATGAAAATAACGGGGGGGGGGGGAGGTGGGTGGGGTAATAAGGGCTGTGATTCCCCGCACGAATGGCAAATGAAAATTAGTTTCTTTTCTTTTTTTTAAACAACAAAGTCTTCACTTCTCAGCTTAATTAGACAGCAAAGACTAAGCTGCCTGAGAGTGTTTATGGATGATTTTCTCTACCTCCATGTTGTTGGTAATAGAGGGGAATTGCTACTAAGGGTGATTCAGAAGGCTTGTTTGTAGAGCAGTTCTCTGTAGGGGATGTAGAAAAAGACTCCTCTCTTTCTTGAAACCGTTAAAGGTGTTTGAGGTCTTTGCTATGTCACTGGCTTGCATTGTAAAGAATTTCTGCTTTAAGATTTCTCAAGTATTTGAAGCTGGACAAGTTTCAGGAAGTAATCTCAAGCAGATTTTGCTTGCAGGGAGGTTGATAGGCAAATTTTCAGAAATTGGGAAGGAGCCTTGTAGGTTGTTGGGGAAGGTTCTGCCCCATTGGGTGTGGGAAACCCCAGGTTTCCACAGGGCATCAAGAGACATTTCAGTTTTTGACTCTTATAGCCTTCTCTGGGGATGGTTCAGAGGGCAAGTATTGTTCTAATTTTAGAGACCAGTAAACACTGACCTCCAAGAGGTTAAAAGACTTGCCCAAGGTCATATGGCTAGGAATTGGTAGGACCGATACACACACCTAAGGCTTCCAATTCCAAGGCCACTCTCCCCGCTTCCCTCCCTCCAGGCCGCCGCTTTCCTTTGCCTCGGTATGAAGAGTTTTCTTCATGCCTCATGCCCTCCTCAAATGCTGCCCTTCACCCCATCCCCTTCAGGTTACTGCTTTTCCGGCCCACCGTGCTTCTTTGGGACCCTGGAGGTAGATAAACCTCCGCCGCCGACCCATCTCCATGGGGTCCTACTCACCTCTCCAGGGTCCCGAGCTCCTGTGGGCTTTGCTGCTCGAACAGCCGGGGGTGTAGCTGCTGGGTTGGCTCAGGGCCCTACTGAAATGTTCATCCACCACAGAGCTGATGTCCCCCTGGAAGTAGGTGAAGAGCACGCATCTGGAGCTGATGTACTCAGCTTCCGGTGGGCGCTCCTTCTCTGGGCTGCCCTCCTCTTCCTTGACGCTGGCCGGGGTTTGGTTGGAAAAGGAGGAGCTCCCGCTGGCGCTGCTGCTGGGGCTGGCGTTGCATTCTTGGGCTTCCTGCATTTTCGAGTAGTAGGCTAGTTTCTGTTCAGAGAGAGAAAGTTAAAAATCAGTTTCTGAAGAGATGGTCAGTGTAGGTTCACCCTATCGTTGAGTAACTGGCATCTCTGCCTCCGCTTTGCTCTTGTTAAAAACAAACAAAAACTAGCAATAGATGGCAACATAGTTGCCTCTCTGTCTTCAATAGTCTCTAAAGAAAATTGTTCTCTTTGATACCCTCTCTGCCCAGAATTGCATTGCAGGAAAAACTCTTAAAATGTTGGGGTGAAAATCTCAGAAGACATTAAATTGACCTATCCACCCATCAATCAAACAAACAAAGAGAACAAAACAAACAAACAAAGAAAGAAAAACCAGACCAGACCATCAGGACTGTAAGCTGAGTTCAGCTTTCGGGGCTGTGCTTGGGGCAAATAGAATTTTTTAAGTCCGAGCACCCAAGTTAAGTTGGCAGCTCTTCTCTCCATGAGAACTCAGCAGAAGCACAAGACACAAGACTAAGCATCCTCATGATGGAACAGAAACACAACAATGAAAAAAGGAATCCACATTACACAAACAGGAATGAAGAAAAGTGCCTAGAAAACAAGAAAGTTCCAGGATCATGACTGGGGAAATTGTGGCTCTTTTTAATAAATGTAAGTTGTTTTTTTTTTTTTGTGGGCATTTTTTGTGGGCACCCACAAAACCCTCCAAAGTCGGTGTCAGTTGTTTGCATTCATTAGGTTGGTTTTGATGCAAGGTTTCATACAGCCTAGGCTGGTCTGAAACTTGCCATGGAGCTGAAAGTGGCCTTGAAGTAAGATCTTCCTGTCTCAGCCTCCCGAGTGCAGGGGCCACAGGCGCATTCTCCTTATTTGTAGTTTTAAAACAGATCACGTAAGGAAGGAAGAGTCAGCAAACGGTTAGCACACGAGCATCTCCAAACAGAAGTTATAAAATGGAGCACAAAGAAGACTGGGATCCTGACTACTCCTGAGGCAGTCACTGTATCAGCGAAACTTTCAGACCAGATGCAGCTACTGAGCACATTGTCTTAGAAATGAGCCGTAGACAGTGCTAAATCATTCTCAAGACAGAGGTGGCCTTGAAGGGAAGGGCAGAGCCATACAAGGTGAAGAGATTTTATGTAGTAGACAGGTCCCGGGTCCAGAAGGAGAAAGGGCCAGCTAGAAGACCTATCTCTCTTCTTTTTGAAGTGGATCGCCCCATACTGGGAAAAGGCTCCTGAGCTCAGAAGCTGGGGCCCAAAGATTCCAGTTTTTAACAACATCACCACACTCTGAATGCCACGTTCCCACCTGGTTTACACGGAGAAACCATGTGATTTCTAAATCTAACACAAATTAGGACTACAGATTCTCGGTTGGGAAGTTTGCGCGCGAGGAGGTTGGGGGGGGGGAGTCTAACGCAAAATCTCATTTTATCATTTTAATATATTGTTGGGGTTTGCAAACGAAGTTGTCTGAAGTATTGACTCCACCGACATTTGGTTTCACTGTTCCCCAAAGAGAAGACCAGGTGCTTGCTTTCCAGCCTGGTCCAGAATTCTGTCGCTCCAGGTGTGTGCTTTTGTCTTCCCCTGGAATACTGTTCTCAGATTCTGCTACCTTGGCTGAGAACACGGACGGAAACAGTAGTTGGCTACGCACACAGCCCAAGAAAAAGAGAAACCAGAAATCGGCAGAATCGAACGAAACTTGAACAGTTTGCAGGAGCGGGGTTAAATGATCTTAAAAGTGACTTTGGGCTGTCGGATTCTGCCATTTGAGTCTCAGAAAGGCTAGCTCCTGGGGCGGGACAATCACACCGGAATAATGCTCCCTAGAATTCTGCAAAGCACAGATCACAAGGCCGATGCGGTCGGTCTGCCAGTTTCTCCTGAAAACGAATCCACCAGTTTCGGAGCTAGTTGGCCCGACCGCCTGAGAACTGAAACGAAGGAGATTATTCCCGGGACAATCGCGGAGCTCTCCATCTGGGAACCACAGAGGCAGGCTTTTGATTTTCTTTTCTTTTTTCTTTCTTTCTTTCTTTCTTTCTTTCTTTCTTTCTTTCTTTCTTTCTTTCTTTCTTTCTTTTTTTTTTGTTTTTGTTTGTTTGTTTGTTTTTACTCCTAAGGTCAAAACCAAAGTTCGGATTTCCCTGTGTGAGATTTGCGGGGAGCCCTGTGCACTCTCACCAGAATCTAAGAAGAAAATTCAGTGGGGACCATCCTCGTCTAACTGTTCTGAGGAAGGCCTGGGTGCATATTAATTAGCACGACTTAGGTGCCCTCTCAAGACAGCAAATGGATTAAAGAGAATTAGAATCGGTCCCGGCATCCTGGCGTCTTTGGCTGCCTGTCTGTCGCCCCTGGCGCTCAGAGGCTCCAGCGACCTTTCGGGTAGCGGTTCTTTCGTAGTCTGGGGCGCTCCACCGGTCCCCGTCCCACCCGAATAGACTCGTACCTGGTGGTAGGGAGTGTAGGCGGCTGCGAAATAAGGCTGCGGGGGACCGTAGACCTGGTACATAACATCCAGACAGCTCATGGCTCCCCGCCGCGGAGGCAGCTGAGTGGTTTCTCATCCACGCTGTTTGGGGGGAGCTCAAGGATGCTGCAGCAGCGACGGCGGCACCGGAGCCCCAGAGTCATGGGCCGCGGGGCAGTGCTGGGCTGGGGATGCGGCAAGCTCGCTCCCCTCCCACTCCGCGCTTTCAGCCGGGCCGCGCTCCCGGGCAGAAGCGCCCCGGCTCCCGCTAGTGCGCATTTAAACCCCGCAGCCCGTGGCGCGCTGACGCTGCGAGGGGGCGGGGACCAGAGGACAGCTACGCGGTCGCAGAGTTTCCCGGGACTCCCTCGCGGGAAAGCTTGTGGCCCGGGTGTCAGAGACTGTGGATCCTGAAAGTGGGGCTCCAGGCTTCACTCCCGGAGCAGCGATTTCCCCCTTTCCCTTGTGTCCACGAGGGACCAAGACCGAAGAGACACAGAGGCAGAGAGACCAGGAACAAGCTAGGGTGCGGGTATGGGCCGAACGCAGGGAAGTTGCGGGCAGGTCTTGTAGCAGAACCTCCGCCCGCAGCTCCCAGAAGATGCTTGGGGAGGGACAGAGCTGTCTTTTGGAATCTCCGCGGGATCTAGGTTGTCACAGATAGGTTATGAAAGGAGTCTCGGGACTCCGCTGGGGAAGTGGCCGGCAGTGGCTAAGACTTGCAACCTCTCCCCTTGTCCCATCTCCTGTGCGCTTTCACCAACCCTTGTTCCGGTCCCAGCACCCCCTCTCTAATTTTAATTCTTCTTAGGTAGTTCCTTTCAGTCCGCCTAAAGTTCGATCCCATCCGGTTCTCTTTGATGCGCTTAAAGAACTAACTTGGTCCCCGCGGATGGCGCCAGTTCTGTGTGAACTACTTTCCAAGATTCCAAAAGCTCCTACCCAGACCCTTTATGCCTAATTCGCCAAGCTGGAGTCTCGCTCTGGTCCTATAAAGTTACTTAATGTTTAGAGCAAGGACTCCTTGGTTCTCAGACGCACCTAGGCGCTGCAGGCAGAGGACTTGGGTTGCCTCTTTGGTTGGTTATAAAAGCTGTGATGGTCAGTTTCGCTTAAGAAGCTAGACAGTGTGAAACATGCCCCTTAAGAGATTCCTTTTCTTGATCAGTGCCGGCAGCGGGGTGAGCTCTTATTGCTTGTGGGTGGGGGGAATTGGTGTCTCCTCCAAGCTCCACCAGAAACCCTTGGAGGAGGGGATGTAACAAGGAATCTTCCATCTAGTGTAAGAGTGAATTGACAGACACATGGCTACCTCGTGGCAAGGTCAAATGACCAAACGTTCTTTAGATGGGAAGACCCTCAAGAAACCACTGAGAGCCAGTTTTGGGGGCTGAGGGCACAGGTGATGAACTTGAGAACCCAGAACCGAGGAATGGACATCCGGGATAGATGAAAGTGAACAGAAGCCGTGCTATCTGACAGTTTAAATTCCATAACCACAATTCTCATTCAACTGCAGGCAATTAACTTTTTGAACATACTTCTTTTTGAAAAGTGGAGCATTTGAAATTAAATTGCTTCTGGATTGGGTTTTCGGTTTGTGTTTTTCAAAAAGGGGCTCCAGTCCAGCTTATAAATGGGAAGCCATCCTGGCGGATTCTTCAACTAGCTACAATGTAATGTATCACAAGGTAAAATGTCAAAACTGTCCTGAACCATGTACAGACTGTATAATCCAGCACTTTGCAGGCCGAGGAAGGAGAATCACCAGGTGTCCGGTCCAGTCTAGTCTGCATAACAAATCACCATCTCAGAAATCAAAAATAAATATGAATAAATACAAATAATCTCCCAGTACAGTTTTTAGGGGCTAGGCCAAGGGTGGCTTAATCAGGAGGGTGGGGACTCTCTGGAATTTTCCATTGTGAAGGTGCACAGGTGTAGAACATCCTGCTCAGCTCTCCACTACTCTTGGTTAAAAGAGTTTTAGAAGATGTGCATGGTGCCCTAGGGACCTGGACCACAATCCACTGGATGCAGGAGGCCTTGCTCCTAGATGCCAGATGCAGTTGCTTCAGGTGGCCATTGGCTCGGCAAGGCAGGCTGGAAGCTAGGAGTTGGCTCAGGCCACAGAGCTAAGGACACCTTAGTAGGCCAGGTACCAAACAGTCCCATCTGTGAACCTGGCCCAGCCTTGGCTGCTTCCAGCCCAGCTTCATAGGTTCAAATCTCCAAATCCATCCTTGAGCACAGAGGTTTCACTTTCAAAGAGTGCTTCTACAGGAGACTCTGCTGCACAGAGTTGGTGTGTGTGTGTGTGTGTGTGTGTGTGTGTGTGTGTGTGTTGGGGGGGAGCATGTTGGGGAGGAAGCTGAGAAGAAGAGAGATGGGGGACAGGAAAAATGGGATTCTTGGTTTTGTCTTCTTTGCCTATTCCCTTTTAGAATAAGGGCTTAGCCACGAATGTTTTAGCTAGATTCCTTCCTTCCTTCCTTCCTTCCTTCCTTCCTTCCTTCCTTCCTTCCTTCCTTCCTTCCTTCCTCCCTCCCTCCCTCCCTCCCTCCCTCCCTCC